TACATCATACATTTTTAAGTGAAGTTCATGGATTATAGGACGAGGCTATATTAAGTTCAACACGTGGACTATGTCCTCCCTGTGTGCTCCAGGGAGTATAAATAAAAACTTATTTTAATATCATATTTTAGATAATAGTAAAATTCTCTAAATAGATGACTTGCTATATGTTAAATTTATGGAGTTAAGAAAGGAATAAACTTAAGATGAATTATAACGGCGTGGAGTACACAGGGGGAAAAAAACGCAGTTCAAAAAGGAAACAGCTACACACGTCAAATATCCGCGGGGAATGTGGTCTATCTCCAAAAGATAGCGTCCCCTCCTTAGCGCTCGTGAGAATCTCTCAAGACGAGCCCTAGAGATCCTGCAAAGGCAATGAAGATTGCGCTCCTGTTGGAGACAGCCCAGTATGAAAAGTAAACATAGTGGTGATCATGGGATCACTTCTNTGTTGGAGACAGCCCAGTAGGAAAAGTAAACATTGTGGTGATCCCATGATCACCACAATATATATATATATATTTCAGTTTTTTTAAGTTTCAACTAAATTCAAATAGTTCTAAACATTTAATTTTCTGCAAATTTGTTTATTAAGTTTACTGATAAAAATATGTAGGGCTTAAAACACTAATGTTTATGCAAAAATTATGATATCTGCCTATAGAATGACTAAATATGCGTGCGACCCTCGGTTAATCTACCTGCTTTGCAAGTGGCTCTTAACTCAAAAAGTTTGTGCACCCCATCTTACAGCATGAAAAACTATTTAAAAAATAATTATCAGAAGTGCCATGAAACTTAATAAAACCATTTTTTATAGTACTAATAAATATTGAATGCTTGTTTTTTCTCCGAACATATTTTTGGGACATATGCTCTGAATTTAATATGATCAACAAAATAAAGCTTGCTGTTTTTTTCGCATTTGTTAAATATGTTTAAAAATTATAAATTAATTAATATAAATCATTGTTTTTTCGACAGTATTGTAATTATGAAATATAAATTTTATGTGGTGCAATAAAATGCATATCATTCTTCAGCCTTGAAAACTTGATTGGCGATTTTAAAACTGGAAAAAAGCAATTAATTACAGAATTTAACCATGCTTCTGGAAACATGAAAAAACTGTGAAATACAATGTGCTACACAAAAAAAAAAGCATTTCTGCTTATTCTTGTGTACAACTAATCTGATTATAAATTCTGTATTCAATTCTGTATTCAATTCTGATTAACTGAAACAATCGATTTCCAAATATTNTTGAAAACTTGATTGGCGATTTTAAAACTGGAAAAAATTAATTACAGAATTTAACCATGCTTCTGGAAACATGAAAATACAATGTGCATGAAATACAATGTGCTACAAAAAAAAAAGCATTTCTGCTGATACTTGTGTACAACGAATCTGATTATAAATTCTGTATTCAATTCTGATTAACTGAAACAATCGATTTCCAAATATTCCTTGACTTCATATTCCTTGGGGGTTAAACCAATGTATGTTTTTCTGTGTGAGAAGGTCATAATTTTAATTTGTTGCTACAAATAAGTTCTCTGTTGCTCAAGGAACGCAAAAGCGTTGTTAGATTGATGTAATTTGTCTGAATTCCATGTTTGTTTTTATTGGCATTTTTTATTTGTACCTTTTCTGGTTGTGTTTCACTAGGGGCCAAAGTTGTCCTTTTAATTGCAATAAGTAAGACTAAGTTTTACGCCATTCTACAGGGGAAACCTGTAAAATATGGGGAACTTAAAAATCACTTAAAATAACAGGGAAAATGCAGGAAATTTTGATTTTTTCTTTCTTTACAAACTGGAAGAATACAAGGATTTTTGTTTCTTATTTTTGTTTTTTAAAAAATGGTGACCACTGAAAGCGTAATCTATGGGATATTTAACCTTGATATCTCAGCTATACTAAACTATTTAAATTATTATAGCATTATTTAAGTATGTTCAGCTGTTTTTAAAAACTATACCCGATTTTTAAAAACTGTGACAACTGAAAAATTATTACATTTGCTATCTAGTGTGCTGTTTAATGACATAAAGTGTCAGAAATAATAGTTCACTACAAGTATCTTTTATATTAAAAATATCGTGACAGCTACTGTCACCTCTGTTTTAGATGTTCCATCTAACATTAAGTTTAAATTTGCTGCAAATTAACTAAAAAAATTAAAATAAGAAAACTCAAATGTGCAAGGAGTGCTAAGCAATAAAAGAAAGTTCGAGAATTATCAACTATTAAATTTGTTGTAAAAAATGCAGAATTTTTCGAACATTTGGTTAAAACTTTCAGTTCTTTTCAATGTCCGTAACTTTAGTGTTAAAATTTGATGTGCTGAATGATTTATTTTTCTTTTAAAATTAAGTGCAATTTTTTTTCGAAAATTAATTTTATTTAAAAATTATTTCAATTAACTTTTTTTTTTTTCAAATTCATTTCCCTTTTTCTTTACTTTACAATTACCTATTGTTGTAAAAAAGTATTCACCTCACTCAAAATCTTCGTTTTATATAATCTTGCTTGACTTGATGTCAAAATGAACAACCAGAAGAATGAATAAATAAATACAAAAAGAGAGTTTAATTTTAATACTTCGAAAATGTAGAAAGTTTGAAGCAATTTTCATAGTAGTGTTTGCAATTTTTTAAAGAAAGTTTAAAACGATAAGGGATTTTTCTTATATTAAATTTCGTCATTGCTGTCCATTTATTATGAGGCAGTGAAATTTGTTCGTAAAAAGTCCTGAATTTTTCGAGCTGTCTTTTAGGAAGTACAAAATCTACTGAGAAAATTGCTTGAAACTTTATCCTGCTTTTAAAATATTTATATCAGATTTCTTCCATTAGTTGCAAAATACAATTCACTACAAAATAATGAAGGCATAATTTTAAAATTTTTCCACGCATGCTCAGTACAAATAAAACTAATTTAAATGCTCATATCTTGTGAATTTTTTTTCTTCGAATTTTGAAAGCAATATTTTTAAAACCAATTTTAAATTGCAGTGGAGGAGCTCACTGATGATGCCGAGAACTAAACATTGCGTCGGACCAGGAATGTAAAAGCTTTGTATCAGTATGGAAAGACGAAATAAGGCAGCCCTAGAAGTGGAGTGATATAACCTAGATATTCTTGGATCTTGGATAGAGAGGATTTGAGAAATTCAAGACAGGAAACGGCAATGCAGTCCTTTATTCTGGTACTGATGAAAGACATGGAAAAGGTATTGGATACATACTAAGAGAAGAAACAGCGAAAAGCTTAATTGAATGGGAACTAATTAGTGATAGAAATAGCAGAGCAAGATTTTATTCCAAATATATGAAATCATCAGTCTGACAAGTTGATTCTCAGACAAAGGATTGTGAAGATGAAGAAAAAGAACGAATTTGAGAGCAATTGCAATGTGTAGTAAATAATTTACCAAAGCAAGATGTAAAAATCTTAATGGGAGATCATAATGCAAAAATTAGAAAGAGATTGTCAGAAAACGAATGCCGTGTAGGAAATGAGGCAACAGGAGAAAGAAACGAAAACTAACTTTTTGTATCCTTTTGTGAAATGAACGACTTTGGTATTGGTGGAAGTTATTTTAAACACAAAGATATTCACTGGGTATCACCTGGGAATGGATTGCACAGGAATCAAATAGACCACACTGCATTCAGAAGGTGATTTTTGACCTCTTCATTTGAAATAAATGTTTTACAGTCCAAACAATTTTGAAGTGACCGGAACAAATAACAATCCGAAGATGCCAGATCTGGAGAATATGGTTGGTGTGGCAGTGTATCCCATTCTAGGTGTAAAAGCTTTTGGCGAGTGACCAAACTTGTATGAGATCTCACATTTTCTTGGTGGAACACTATACCTTTTCTGTTGACTAATTCTGGCCTTTTCTGTTGAAGTGCATCTTTCAGTTTGTCCAGCTAACTACAGTAGACTTTCAAATTAATTGTTGTGTTATCCGGTAAAAGCTCCAAAAAAAACCATTCCTTTAAAATCCCATCAAACAGACAGCATCACTTTTTTTTTGATGGATATTGGTTTTTGAAATGCTTTGAGCCGATTCATCTTTTTTGCTCAATGATCTCTTGTGTTTGACATTGTTATGGGCAACCCATTTTTCGTCCCCAGTAATGATGCTCTTTAAAAATGGATCATTCGACAAAAATGGACGACACAAATTTTTCTCTGTGAGAACATGAAGAATCCGTATATCGAGCATCGAGCTTTCAAGTGGTCATAAACAGTTGAATTCGAGAAATTTAACCTCTCACCAATCTCATGTGTAGATTTCTTCCATTAGTTGCAAAATACAATCCACTACAAAATAATGAAGGCATAATTTTAAAATTTTTCCACGCATGCTCAGTACAAATAAAACTAATTTAAATGCTCATATCTTGTGAACTTTTTTTCTTCGAATTTTGAAAGCAATATTTTTAAAACCAATTTTAAATTGCAGGGGAAGAGCTCACTGATGATGTAAAAAACTAAACATCGTGTCGGACCAGGGAATGTAAAAGCTTTGTATCAGTATGGAAAGACGAAATAAGGTAGTTATAGAAGTGGAGTGATATAACCAAGATATTCTTGGATAGAAAGAATTTGGAAAATTCAAGACAGGAAATGGCAATGCAGTCCTTTATTCGGGTACTGATTAAAGACATGGAAAAGGTGTTGGATACATACTAAGAAAAGAAACAGCGAAAAGCTTAATTGAATGGGAACCAATTAGTGATAGTAGATCAAGATTTTATTCCAAATACTAGTTCAAATTATCAGTCTTACAAGTTTATTCTCAGACAAAGGATTGTGAAGATGAGGAAAAAGAACGATTTTACGAGCAATTGCAATGTGTAGTAAATAAGTTACCGAAACAAGATGTAAAAATCTTAATGGGAGATCTTAATGCAAAAATTCGAAAAAGATTGTCAGAAAGCCAATGCTATGTGGGAAATGAAGCTATTGAAGAAACGAAAACTTTTTGTATCCTTTTGTGAAATGAACGAATTTGTTATTGGTGGAAGTTAGTTAGAACACAAAGATATTCACTGGGTATCACCTGGGAATGGATTGCACAGGAAACAAATAGACCACACTGAAAGCAGAAGAAAATTCTTCGTCCCAATGAAAGATGTTTTAGAGTGAGGAGACCAGTGCAAATTTCTTATTTTGTCTTATTTGAAATTAATGCTTAGAATACACCCAAAAGTTGAAAGAAGAATGAGCTTCGACACAGCCAAATTTGAAATTA